ATTTAAAAAAAAATATTTGTTTAGAAACAATAAAATTAAATGATAAAGGAATATTGTTATCCCAAGATTCGTCAGATTAAAAAATATATATATATATTTTTTTTTTCACCCATTTAGAACGTGTAGTTTAAACTTTATGAAAAGGATTTCTGAACATTTTTAAGGCAATTAAGGTTTATAATAAGTATTATGTACACATTCTCCGCTTTTACTAATTATAAACAAGCACATTATCTTGCTGTAGGTTATTTTATTGTAGAATTGTTTCATACAGCGTCTGCAACCTCCCCCCCCCCCATCATCCGCCCCTCCTCCTTATTAATTGTTTTAGGTTCGAATCTCCCATATCTATGTATCGAGCTACTCTGCAGTGACACGAAGAACCGATTTTAGTAATTTTATACGATAACAATACAAACATCTCTTAATTTTTTATATAGCCCCCCGCCCCCCTTCTTTTGATTAATTTGTTGTTGTAGCTTCATATCTCCCATGTCCACGAGTGTCGATCTGATCTGCAATTAAGATCCCCAAATGTTGTTAGGTTAATTAACAAATGATTAGGAAACCCATATGATTTTTCATCCGTATACTTAAATAACATACGCAAGGTACCTTATACCTACTGATATATTATCAAGATATTCTTAATTTAAGATTATAGTGCCATCAGATATTCATAGACAAAAAAAATCAGCATACATTACCACATCGTCGCCAACCACGGCCAAAATGTAAGATTCTCTCCCATTCTAGGAGACAGCTACATATGCGGACTCCGGACCGTGGCTTGAGACGATGGTAGGAGAGAGCTACTTATGCGGACTCCGGACCGTGGCTTGAGACGATGACATTACCATGCGGTAAAATTTTTTGCATCATTCAAAGAAAAATATAAAAAATTACGAAACGTTAATTACAGATTTTTTTTTCATAAAAATTTGCTTTAGAAGACGTGTACAAATCTATACACATTTTTTTAAAAAAAAGTCTTGCACACGTGTCCTTCATTTAGTGGAACTCTTCAACTCCAGGGAAGAGTCCAATAAAGTACAAACTACATACGACCTTCAATTAAGGATTTCGTTTGACGCGTTGGTAAGATTTAAATAGCAAGATTTCGCTGTACCTCTTGGCGGAAATATTAAGCAAGAGTTATTTCCCTTTCATTATAAAATATTGCTGAAAATGCAATGTCAATGTTATAAAACTATATTTTGAAATGTGTTACCAAAGTTTCTAATACTATTGTGCCTACAGAGAGAGATTACTGTAGACAGTGTTTTTTTTTGCCCTGTGTTATTTTCGCCCCGTGTTATTTTCGCCTTTTTACACTTTCTTAACATTTTCACCCCTACTAATGTTATTTAAGAAATAAGGTATCATTTTTAAACATCTATCGGGATATAAATACGGGTCGGTCACGAGATTAAATTCCATAAAGCCCGAAGGGCTTTATGTTGAATTTAATCTCGTACCGACCCGTATTTATAGCCCGATAGATGTTTTAAAATGATACCTTATTACTTATATATTTACATTTGTGACTAATTCATACTTTATATTTGCCTGATTGTGACTTTTAACATGTGAAATGCATTATTTTTCAAACCCAACGGCATGTATGAACGCGCGTCGACCCTTTATGACGTCACTGAGAAATTACGTCAAACGATTATCCATACGCACATCTATGACCTCTTGACCCCATACCTGTATTTATACAGTTGTAGATACGCATTCCTTTTAGTAGTGTTATATAAGGGAAAACATTTGCAAATGTAAATATTGTGATTTAAATTCAAGACACGTGGTTTAGATTTACCTATTCAAAGGTTATAGGGTAGATCCGGTTTTATAAATAAAATTGGCAGTAAACAGGAAATTGCTATAGTCTGTTTCTTCTGAAACATGTCCTGTGAAAAATGTGTGTTTGCACACCTTTCTGAAAGACTTTCGTGATTTTCAACAGAAATGGATGGCTTAAGAGGGGGGGGGGGGGGTGGTAAATAACAATTAATACATCTTATACTTAACTGCAAAAATTACAGCTCACTAGCGACCGAGATGCGTGTAAAAAATGTATAATATCATTTACACTGACAAACCTTTGTTTGCCTTATATGGCTATTGCTATTAATGCGCACAGAGGATCTTACCACGAGCAACGCCAAATACATGTTACTTCGAACACGTGGTTCAGGTCAATCTATGATCATATCAATGGAGTGCAAAGTAAAAAAAAATGTTCCTATGAAACATTAAAAACTATTAATAATATCACTGGCGTTTTTAATTTGTTAATAACTATAGAGAAAAGTATGCTTAAGGTGTTTCCACTCTCACAATTTTATAGGTTCAAAGTACAAAAACTGCATTTATTTTCATTTAATATACTTTAAACTTTCCAATTATTGCAAAAAATGTAGCCGTCACCATATTATTTAAGACACGAAACATAAATACACAGAAGTGTATGTAAACGTTAAAAAATCGCACTTTTTTGTAAACAGTGTTATGAAAAATATGTAAAAACTGGTTAAAATGCATAATTCTGATGCTGAGTGTTCCTAAATACTTCCTACTTAAAAGATACTTTTAAATTGTGAATATCAGGGAAACTATTTTACAATAAAGCAAATGCCTGGATGAAGAGGCCTTAGAAGGAGTTATTGCCATTGTCAACATTTTTTTTTAGATTAAATAATTGATGAAATATAGAAAATATGCATTTTTTTAATTATTTAACTGAACAATATTCATCATTACACCTATTGTAAAGCATTCTTCCAAGAAATTTTGTTATAAAAGGTATGAATTTAAACTTCTTACAGTTTTTGCAAAAACCTATGACATCATTGGAGGGTGGAATTACCTTAATAAAACGTATACGTAGTTCGTGTCAAGTTCAGAACACCAGCAATTCAAGGATAAGGAAAACGAGCAGCTTCTATGCGTTTAAATGGACAAAACATTTTTTACATAACTATACATGTATACTCGGGCGACTTCGATTCATACCCGAGTATTAATACCAATTCTCTGTAACCACCAACCATACATGGGCACGCAAAGTCACTGTTGTCAATCTTGTTGAAACTTTCCAGAAGTGTTCAGAGTGGCAAATTATGAAAAAAAGTCTGTAGAAGGTCATGCATCTGGCAGTCCAGTCCAATACGAAAAATCGTAATAATATACTAAAATTCGTAATATAAGCAATTTCTAACTCTTCTAAGAGTTACTTCCCTTTTTTCTGATCCAATCTCTTTGTTATGTTTCATCAGAGATTATATGTCTCTGGTTTCATCATTATGATATCGTGGATATGTATGGTTAGTGCATTTTCTTTGTTTTGGTGCATTTGATCCAAGTGCAAGCAGATTCAGAGCCTAGTGAGAGTCTTACAAGTTATCTCTCGTAACATCTCGTTATTTGAAATGAGGGTCTGATTTTCAGGGTAGACTTCGGGAAAAATATAGGGAATTCGGGGATTATAGACCATTGTGACAAGCTTGAGGATACATTGAAATTTTATGGAAAATTGTTCCCATCCTTGGGGAAATTCTTATATAAGAATAATAAAACAAAATGTTCGCTCACCCATTACCATTGTTACTTTCTTCTTGCATTTCCATACTTTTCGATAGACGTCACTGACCAAGATGACCACGTGATACTAGTACAATTGGGGCATAATGTATTTCTGACGTCATACTTCCCTAAACATCATTCAGTTTCTTTCAATGCTTAATTTTGTCTTGCATTACGAAAACTCGTAATATATTCTCTCTCAACTTGCTATATTACGAGTTTCCGTTATTTATCTATATTACGAAAAATAGTAATATAAGAATAATATTACGATATTCTGTAATATTACGATTTCTTGTAATATTACTATATTTCGTAACATTACGATTTTTCGTATTGGACTGGACTGTCTGGTGCCTCGTTACCATGGTAACGGAGGTTCAATTCTCTATTTTTTGACATTATGTGAATTTTCACTTACAGGCGATTTATTTTTCAGGATGTTTATATCTCTTGACTTTTTTAAACTTTAAACTAAGAAAAACTATGTATCTAATATAAATAATACGTATTTGATTTTTTTTGCACTTCTAAAGGGTAACACGGTATCGATTTTTATACAAAAAATGACTTTTTTCAACCAGAATACCCGCTTAAAATACAAGAAAACGCAGCCATCCCAGTAAAATTCCTGATATCGGACAGAATCCCTGCATTGTGTAGTTTTCAAGACCATTAAAACATTTTTGGGGCTATTGGAAATCGGCATTCTATCTCATGTTGAATACAGCGAAATCTACACGTTATTTTTGTAAAAGGGGATTCCCCATTTGATTACCTCTTCAAAATGGAGGTAGAAAAGTCAATTATTAAAGTATATCGATCGTAACCATTTCGATCAATCAGTATCAATCAATGAATATGAATATATATTTAAATGAATAAATAAATATATACATTATCATATACTTTTTGATTAATAATTAAAACAAATTTGCGATATTTCGACTTTTTGAAGGTAACACTGAACCTATATATGGCGCGACTTAACCAATACCGCAAAAAGGCGACATGTAAACAAAAACATTGAACGTCAGACGTCAGATACGTCTGCGAAAGATGCCGGTGTTGGGCTGAGTCGTTGGAGTTTTTTTTATATTGTTCTAGTTAGGTTTTGGTAATGGCTTGCGATTTTCGTGAAAAAGATGCACATATCAAGTGTTCCGACCAAACTGAGCGTTTATCGGAGAAAGTAAACGACGAAAGCGTAATTATTTGTACTGAATTCGGATTGCTCCCTTCTCAACGAAATTTCTCTATCTGTGCAAACCATTCTGTCCATGTTTTGGAAACAAACAGTAGAAGAAAACGACGGAACTTCTGTGAAATCCCTTTCATTTTTAACACTCATAAGGGCATAAGAAGAAAATCTGACAGAACACTGACACTTCCAAATGTATACACTATACATGAGAATTTTGGAGTTGTGTTGGCAGTTGGAACAGGTGAGTGGGTTATGTTTTATCTGATTTGAATACAATAAGTACAAAAACAATATTCAATCTATAGGTAGCTCACTACAATGAAATTAATGTTTCATTGCTGAAATAAGGAGAATATACACATTTTGATGATCACATTAGATCTATTATAGATACTATATACATCAGAGTAATTTTATTTTAAATCATAATTAATATATGTACTGAATGAAACATTTTTTGTAATAGAGTGTGTTTATCGACAAGCATATCAATAGATTAGGATTTGTTGTAAACACGTGTTTATTATTTTGTTTGTTCTAGTTTAAACACCTTATTAATTACAGATAATAGTTTGCTACATGTCCTTCTACCCTTCTATCTTATTTCTCACTCTGAGTGGATTGGTTCCTGAAATCATCATATGTTTAAAGTGCGACACGCTAAAAAAAAAAACTTTTGTACACTCACTGGCAGTGTACACTCATTGAATGAGTAATTTGCATTTGGTCAGATTTGATTTGTAGGAAGTGATCATTGTCTCCTTAGTAATATTATGTTATATGTAGACTTTTATAATTTATTATATTTATGCAATGGCAATGGAAACCAGTTTTAAACTAATTGAGTTATCCTGGATAAATAAAGGTTATTATTTTTGTTATTATTATTAAGTCAGCTGATATATGTTAATACAACTTACTTAGTATAATTTTAAAACAATTGCAGGTATATGCAGAAATTGCAGAAAAGAATTATTGGAGGCTGAAATTTTCAATGAAAATGAGTCTGAGCAGCTGGTAAATATTGTATAATATTTGTAAAGTGAGAAAATGTTTGATTACATTAAATTTTTAGTTTTTTTTTGCCAGGAAATGTGTACTTCTCTCTTATTTTACACGTAGATGTAAGGTATATTACATACAATACAAGAAGATATGCTTTCAACCAACATCCTATTTTCAGTTTAGCATTGAAGACTCATTCGAAGATTGTAACCCGGTTCCATTAAAACGTACGAGAAAGGTAAGATAAAACAACATCTACTACTGTAACAGTATATTTGTCTGTTTGTTATTATACAGTGGGTCCCATTAAATCAGATATCTCATAATCTGATATTTCGGATATCCTGATATGATATTGCTGCACCAAACCCTAGCTTTTTCTATTTGTCCTTTATTTTTCTTTCTGATATTCTGTTATGCAAAATTTCAAAATCCTGTTATATTGATATTAGAATAGCACTAATATACATTGACAGTTAGTCTCAATCCTAACAAATTTACATCTTTTGACCACATATTTTATTTTGTGAACTAAAAGATTGACCTTGTTAATGACAATAAATCAGTTTAAACAGAAAGTACTTGTAAAACTTATGCTTCAATCTTATCAATAATGTAGATAATTACAGTAATATTACACCTTATATGAAGTCTTCAAATAGAATCATGAGCAGGATATAAAGACTACTAATTTGGTGAATAGGGCATTATGTTAATCAGATATTCTGTTTATCTGATTAAGTTTTATGAATTTTATTCAAAGTTATACAGGGTACGTCAATACATCATATGTAAGACTAAGGGATCAGTAACACCTTTTCATGATTTCATGTATCGATTTCTTTGAAATGATAATTGCGATTACATTTGTAGGCAGCGCTGCCAGCTGCAGAAATCGCCTGGACAGACTTCACAGAGAGCAGTCAGGAAAATAGTCTTAGTCAATCTTCCTCAGTTTCCTGCTGGGATGATAATCGCAGTCTTGATGCTCCCCGAGAAGCTTTGAACACGTTGCTTAGTTTGTCAGGTATAAATTTATATATTGCAACTTTCCAAAGATCTTTTTATATCATGTTTCCTTTATTCTATCTATTTCATTTTTGTGTCGCCTGCAAACCATAGCGACATATAGGGATCACTTTGTCTGGCGTTTGTGTGTCTGTCCAGTAGTCACCCTTTTTATATGCCCGTCTTTAGATGGGACGTATTATGGTGTAGCGTCGTCCGTCTGTCTGTCTGTCTGTCCGGGCCTTGCAGGCAGGATAGAGACCAAACGGTAATCTCTAGAATCATACAACTTGGTATACTTGATCACCATCATGAGAGGAAGAACCCTATTGTTTTTCAGGGTCAGAGGTCAAAGGTCAAGGTCATCTTGAGACTTAGCTGTAGCGACACTTATCATAACATTGCTTATAACTCTCAAGTAGGTAAGATGTTCATCAGGGTCAGAGGTCAACAGTAAAGGTCGTAACATTACTTAATAAGAATAAAGACCGACCATAAGAGCCATAAGCTCCATGATCACATGGTACATTCATTGTTATTGCAGGATTAAGCCCCGTTAAAAAGTTACAAGGGCAGATAACTGAAGCCAGCAGAAGAACCCAACATCGATACATATCGAAAGCTGCTCAGTGCTTTGATTTGATATGCAACACCATTTGTCCTGGAGAAGCTGAATTTATTAAATCCGCTATATTTCAAGAACAGCAGAATAAAGATCAGGATACGCCAACCTTCAATACTCTTGTGGAGATATATAAACGAGCAGAAACATGGCACCTACAGAGGCAAATTCTGTCAATCATATCTGACCAACACAGCTTCGAAGAAGTGAAGAAAGTATGTAAGAATTTAGTCCATGTAAAGATCTTCATTGTCATGGCTGTTATGTTTGAATCACATCAGTTGTTAGAATTCATACATTGTTGATTTGAAATTGCATTTAAATCAAAATCTATGAACATTTCTTTATTTTAGTTCACTGGAGCTGAGAAATTACTTTCACTCTTGGTTGTAACCATAATATATTTTTGTCATTCTGAAAAGTATAAAAAAAAAATGAAAGTTTTGATATTTGTGTGGGTGTATCGATCCGTAGAAAAAATATCGCAATGCACCGATACACTGTATCGTCCCAGCCCTATTATAGACTTATATATTTTCACTCCTTATTTCACATAAACTTAATATTCTATTTAAATTTTAGCTTGTTCCTGACGTGACTCAGTACAAATTTAAGGCTGCTAAACAGCATTGCAACCAGTTTGGTATTGGAGAGCCTGTGTCCAAGAGAAAACAAGTCAGAGAAAAGTTTGATGTTAGTCAGCTGGATCACTTCATTGATTTCATACTCTCCAGTCATATTATAAAAGATCAGCCTTTTGGAGAGAAGACATTGAAACTACCATGTGGAGAAATAATCAAGATACCAAGTGTGATAAGAAGTCTTGCGCCATCAAGGATAATAGCCCAACACAGTATGCAATGAAGAGAACATAAAGCCATTAGGTATATATAAAAATTTAAAGTTTTTTTTGCCCATTTCCACTATTGAAGAATTCAAAAATCTTCAGACCATGAGATTTTGAGGTATTATAAATCTGCTGTCTGTTTCCATAAGGCTTTTAAAACACCTTACATAACAATGAAAATGATCAACATTTTAACTTGTGCACTTCTGTGGTCTAAACTTTCATATTAGGCAAAAAGTTGTGTAAAACAGCTACAGAGGATATATTTTCAAAGGTAGATTATAGAACATATTTTCTCTGTAGTTTTGGTGTTTTCTACCTCAAGGGGATTTATATAACTTATATTTTTTTTTTTCATAAATTGTGTAACATTGTTTTATTCTGTACTGGTGAATTTTTAAGATAAGTATTCAAAATTTTGGTAAAGATACATGTGATGGATTATTAGTACATGTAATAATGTTTGCATTGAGCATGATGCATTGTTTGTTACCATATGTATTTATTCTATGTTACTTCTCAAGTTTCATAACATCACTTAAATGTTTTTACATTTTTCTGTGATGTCACAATAAACTGTATTTCATGCAATGAAAATTATTGCAGTAGTCTAAGGGTTGAATTAGTTCTGGTTTTACATTTTGATTAAACTTTTCTAATTTTATTCAAAACAGGTTCAAGCACATTGTACAAACTCCTAGATGACTGCTCTGCATTGGTCAGGCAAAGCATTGAAGGTCTTGACAACTATGTTATGGAGGGTTGTAGAGCTTTTAAAGACCTAGAGTCGGTAGTCCAAGACCTTGGATTGACAAGCATGGAATCCAACTCTGTGCAAGAAAATCTGCAAAATGCAAAGCGATACCTTAAATCTGAGCTAAAGGTAATCACAAAAGTAATTATTTAGAATTCAATTCTAATTGCAAAAATATATACAAACTTGATTTTGGATCCAGTGTTTGCCAAACACAGTGACAATATATATGAATATACATGTACATGTATGTATTCAACATTTGTATTTCCAATTCAGTTTAGTTTTTCTTTCATTTAGCAATCAATATAATTTGTTCAATGTGTTGTAGGTACATGTCACAAGGGAAAACCCAGTTGCTGATCATTGCCTGTCATATGCTCTGAGTTCAACAGATTCCAACTTCAAAACTTTATGTGATCATAACCATGACTCATCATGCCAAGAGTGTGTAAACATGAATACCACTTTAAACTTCATCAAGAGCAAGGCGGAGATACATGAATGGAGAAACAAGGAAGCTGTTTTGTACACTGTAATGCCTTACCAAGTTTCCATATATATATGTACTTTAAATATATTCTACATGCTTTGTTCCTCCCTTGAAACTAATCCATTTTAAACTTCCTGATAGATTTATCAGTTGACATTTTGAGGTTTATTGGTATACCTTTTAATTGAATTTGTATCTGATTTATTTTGAATAAGGGTTTTGTAAATGTTTCACTAACAAATCTTATAATTTTCTTTCTTCTTCTTTAGGTAGAAGAGTCGATATCGGCAATACGGAACTGGAAAAGCCATGTGATTCGTTCAAGAAACCAGGAGGAGGCTAGATCCGTGATTGTTGACAACATGACAAATGTTGATGCTGTCATCACTTGTGATTGGGCTATGAAATTTCTTCCAAGGAAATATAGAGAAGGTACATTTTAGTTTGTTGATTGGAACTTGGATTCATTAAAGATGATATATTTATTTTGATTTTAATCATAGTAGCCAGGTGCTTTGGTAATTGCTTAGAAATTCAACTTTTTTTTGACTGTCTAAAATTATTTATAGATTTTAAATCTCAAACTGAAGGATCATCTCCCTCAGGCATAGCTCTATCCGTCAACAGATTTGGCTCCATTTTTCATTATCTATTTGAGATTCATGGGTGCTCTAATTTACCCTTTTCACAGCCTTTCATATTTCAATTAATCTTTTCTAATTGTCTGGTTTTTTTTCAGTTGTCTCTCCAGTTGTCAACATCATTGATGTGACATTGTTTTAATCTTTCTTTGAAAAAAAAATAATTTCTTTATTTTAGGACAAGTAGACTGGTTTGCAAAGAGGGGCATAAACTGGCACATAACCGTTTCACTTCTAAAACATCATTGCTCCTATTCTACGATAACGCACATCCATATATTTGAACAACCAACAGCACAGGATGCAGCAGTCACATCACAGATCCTTGTGGATGTTTCAAAGGATATAATGGCCCTTAAGAAAGATGTAACCCGGTTGCATTTTTTCTCAGACAATGCTGGATGTTACAAAAGTTCCTCCACACTGTTGACTCTTCAACATGAACTTCCCTCCAGTATAGTGTCCTACAACTTTTGTGAGGCACAGAATGGAAAAGGTATATATATATATATATATATATATATATATATATATATATATATATATATATATATATATATATTGTTGGTTTTTTATTATAGATGCACATTCAAGCTATTTCTTAGTCAGTGCGTTTGTCGTCCAAGTGTTTGTCGTCCAAGTATAAGTCGTCAGAGCTACATGTACATCAGATCATTGCACCGTTGCTCTAACCACTGCATCATGCGGATGATATAAAAATCAATGAAACAAATACATGTTATGTATAAGGTTAATTTTGTAAACATAGTGATATATAAAGAAGTTGCCAAGGCTTGTGGATAGAAATTTATAAATCATATTAGAATACAAACCATTGAATATCTTTTGTTTATATAAGTGAGTTTATACTTTTTAAAAATGTCATATTTTACAGGGCCATGTGATAGACGTGCTTCTCACATCAAATCCATCATCAAACGCCATGTCAATGAGGGCAATGATGTCACAACAGCACAGCACATGAAACAGGTTATTATTATTTGTTCCGCACAGCTATATTTTCTTAAATTTGACTTCAAAATGTGTCAATATTTTGTATTTTTAATTCTTGCATTTGTTAATAAACTCTGGTTAGGTGAGTTTTTGTGATTGAGTGGTCTGTCTGTCTGTTGGGCAATGTGGCCCCAGAGGTTTTTGTTAAAAAGGCCGGTCATCAGAATAGATGACAATATGCAGTTTTTGTGATAAGTTATAATAATCTTGTTAACTCATGTCTTTTAGGCTGTAGACAAGGAAAATAAAGATGACCTTAGAGTCAAAGTTGTCACATCTGTAAACATTTTGGATGCAACACCCAGAAAAAGCACCATACCATGTATCTCGCAGATGTACAACTTCCAATTTACAGAAAGTGGACTCAGGATGTGGAAAGCCTATTCAGTTGGTAAAGGTAATGAAGAACATATTCAAAGTGTATTTTGATATGATAGTTATGGGGAATGATTTGTGTGCAATTATTTTATCAGCAAATACTCTTGCCGATTTCGACAAAGACTGATACACAGGTATATGTTTTTATCAATGACTATTTTTAAAGAGGCAGCACCACAATTATTTAGGTATGATCGGGCAATTTTTGACACAGTTATTGATCCTTTGGCTTAGATATATCCCAATAATATGTTATTTCTGTTCATTTCTTTGTAGAGATTGCACACACTGAAATGAAATTTGATATCTAGATTTATCACCCTATGATATATATGCCCAAGTGGGGGGGGGGGGGGGGGGGCATAAGAGGTTTCATATTTCAAGCAGCATCCTTTGTTTATGCATTTTAAAATGAATATCTATCAATGTTTCTTTATAGGAAAGTTACTAACCTGGGATCATCTAAGTGCCCCAGAAAATTCTGTAGAACTAAAGACAGTGGCTGGATGGATTGGCGGAGGAATTTCAGAAATGGAAGAAGAAACTCCTGGTAATTTTCAGTTTGATTAGGGATTTTTTACTCTTACTTTCTAGCCACTAAGCAGCAACCAAAAATAACCCCAGAAAAGCTTACATGTACAATAATTCATTGTTTTTTTGTTTATTTATTGTTTTGCGTCTCACTCAAGATTTTTTTTTACTTAAATGGAGACGTTACATCTTATCTAACAAAGAATGATTTGATTTGTAGAGGACACTAGTGAGGAGAATCCATCTAGATCATCTGTTCTGGAATGTCCGGAGGGAAGTTGCTCCAAGACATTCTCTACACAAAAGGCTCTTGAAAATCATGTAAACATGGGCAACTGTAGTTTCAGAAGCGATGCCAAAATGAACATTTCAGAGAAGGCAAAGAGGATGTATGCAGATAAGATTTTGTCTTTCCAGCCACAAAGATCTGTGGTTTTAGAGTCCCACAGCAATACTGATGTATGTAGATGTTCAGAATTAGACATGGGATGGGCCATTAAAGAAAACAGACAAAGAGTAACTTTCACTTCTGGGCAGAAAGCTTTCATGACAGAGAAGTTCGATATTGGGAAGAGGACTGGCAATAAAGTAGATCCGTATATTGCAGCGGAGGAGATGAGGAATTGTGGACTGTTTAGTAGGTCAGAATTCCTTTCTGGTCAGCAGATATCTTCTTTCTTCTCCCGTCTTTGTCAAAAGGAGAAGAGGATGACTGCTGCAGATTTCTGTGCCTCAGAGGAAGAAGACCGAAAAGATCAGATAAGGAATCTCCTATTAGATCAAAATAATTAGGCGTAGGGGTGAGGGGTGGGGGAGATCGATTATATCTGTTGATTAGCTTTTAAATTTGATATGTAATACAACATTGTACTAGTTTTTCAACATATGTGACAAAATTTTACTGTAAGACCAGCTACATGTATTAGAAATATATGCCTTTGTGCAATGTAAATTATAAACTCATGTTGCAACTGTGATATAAAGCCTAACATTTGAATTATTTACCAGTTGCTGAAAAGTTGACAGATTGTGAAAATGCAGCTCAAATGAAAGTTATAAAATTTTTATGTACATGTAATATGATCGTTGTTGAATATTTCTGCAACTTGGAAAATACCATACTGTTCATTCCCACATGCTTAGTACGTTAAGCTCCCGCTAGTCAAAATAGATCTCATGTCATTTTGTTATAGGAATTGGCAGTTCTCTCTTTAAGGTATGCACTGACGATATGCACATGCGATAGCCAAATTTCATATATAACTGTAACAAACAAATGTACATTTGTTGATTAATAATTTGATATATTTGACGTTTTTATTGATATATTATAATTCAAACAATCAGACAATCAATCAATTTTAATACTTGCCAGTTATGATATGCCTATATGTTTCTATGGCAACATACAGATTGTATGATCAAATGCTTGTTTGATTGTGTTGTGTTTACTTCCTTTAGATACATTTAAATGGGCAAATCAGATATTAAATACAATTGAACCCTTGTATTAACTTTTTTGTAATTTTGGCCTTTCAAAAATGGGAAAATTGTCCCAAACTTGAACTTTTGAAAAAGGGGAAAATGTCAATTTTGTTTCCATGGTTACTACTCTTAAACCCATTAGCCCCAAAAATATTATTGCATACATTGATTGTACAGTATGTCCCCTTTATAGATATTGTTATGCCCAGCTCCAGCATGGCTGCATTCGAATGAAAAACTTCTTTGAAATATGCCCCAAATTTGACCTTTGAAAAAAAATGGAAAATCTCATTTTTGTTTCCATGGTTACTACTCTTACACTTATTTGCCCCAAGAATATTATTGCATATATTGATAGTACAGTATGCCCCCTTCATAGATTTTATGATGCCAAGCTCCTGCATGACTGCATTCGAATGTAAAGCTTCTTTGAAATATGACCCAAATTTGAACTTTTAAAAAAAGGGGGAAATGTCAATTTTGTTTCCATGGTTACTACTCTTAAACCCATTAGCCCCAAAAATATTATTGCATATATTGATAGTACAGTATGCCCCCTTTAGAGATATTATTATGCCCAGCTCCAGCATGGCTGCAATCGAATGTAAAACTTCTTTGAAATATGCCTCAAATTTGACCTTTGAAAAAAATGGAAAATCTCACTTTTGTTTCCATGGTTACTACTCTTACACTTATTTGCCCTAAAAATATTATTGCATATATTGATAGTACAGTATGCCCCCTTCATAGATTTTATGATGCCCAGCTTTTGCATGGCTGCATTCGAATGTAAAGCTTCTTTGAAATATGACCCAAATCTTAACTTTAAAAAAGGGGAAAATGTCAATTTTGTTTCCATGGTTACTACTCTTAAACCCAATTGCCCCAAAAATTTTATTGCATATATTGATAGTACAGTATGTCCCCTTCATAGATATTATCATGCCCAGCTCCTGCATGGCTGCATTCGAATGTAAAACGTCTTTGAAAAATGACCAAATTTGACCTTTTCCAAAGCTACTCAAGGACTCCTAATAGCATACGATATTCCAATATTGTAACATTTTTTAGAATTTTTTTTATTATTTTAATCTAATCATTTTTCATCATATTAACAACACGTATCATGATCAGAACTTTAATGAATGTATTAACGGCAATATAAACACTCCAATCTTCTCGATTATTGTGAGAAAAAGAAGCATTTCAGGAGGGGAAAGTAGGTGAGTTCGTTACCATGGCAACGGCAATCCATAGCAACATAATTGTTTCACTTTTTATGTTTATATATGTATACAAGGTATATGGAAACTTATTTTGATTTTCTGAGACCTAGTGTGCCACGCTCTATATATGATATGGTTGGTCATTACAGAATTGAATTGCTGTGTACCAGTGAAAACAATAGTAAACTCGCAATCAAAACCGATCTATTGTAAGTAAGATAGTATTTTAACAAGATAAAATAAAAATAATTATCGTTTGTTTCGCCGATAAATGTAATGCAAGTAAGGTTAAATTATGGTCTCGCCACTTGCAACCAGTATAGAATACTTCAAATAAAGTTGCGACGCGAATTTCCTCTATTTATTGTGGTTTTAATGTGTCTATAATGCTGAAAAGTTTTTTTTCTTGTTCACAAAGACTAATGTGGATTTTCCCTATGAATGTTTAGGTGTTAACATTCTCTGTCATAAATTAAAAACTGAGCAGTTTTCAATCAATTTTCATCATATACATATAGTTTTTGGGTAGATGAGTTCTGTTCACATTGATTCATTATATGTTCAATGATGATCCATGATAGGTGACATTCAGTAAGATGCGTCGATTTAACCAAAGGGACTTAATTATGATAAAAATAGTAATATTATTTATAGTGATTTAGCATCTTTTTTTTTGAAAGTATGTGTGGTGGGAGGGGGGCTTTCAAGGGTGTTGCTAACACCCGGCTTTCAATGAACATTTTTAATACAGTAAAACTAAAAGTTATGTCTGGAAAATAGTTGGGGGGGGGGGGGGGCAAGCCCCCGGCCCCCTGTTGCTACGTGACTGATTTACTAAAAAAGAATAAATTTGTGAAATTTTCTGATTGGTAAACTTGTATATTTTAAAATAATTTGCTTAAATGTCATGAATAAAGTAAGTTTTTTTGATACAATAATTTGAATGTTTGTCATAAACATAAAACACATTTATTTCAATAGCCATTATTCTGAATATTCAACAATATAAATATCTAAATGCAAAACTAAATAATTTTTTTATACATATAGATGCATTTTAGTTTTGATATAAAGTCTACAGAAGTCCATTCGAGTCACCTTTGGCTCCATTTGGGTAAATCGACACACTGTTCAGTAAAATGCAATGTCACTGAAATATTGTTAATGTTGGGATAGACAGTTCATTTTCATTACAGTGATGATAAACTTAGATTTATAACTTCAAACATCTATCAGTGTCTAGAGTCCACACACAATATAAAATTATATATCATACAAAGAGATGAAACCAGATAGTAAAGTGAAAAAAAAACATCTTGCATATGCACTACAATGCTAGACAAGCTACCTGAGTAAGACAACTCTCAAGTATAAGAATTTGCCCAGTATTTGAAGACAAAATCACTTAGTTTGGTAGATATTTTATGCGCTACTTAAGCAAGCAAAAATTGACATCATATATTTTGTGGGAGAAAAATCAGAGAATTCTAAATACATGTATTGGTCACTTGGTAGCTCACATTTTAGAATCGCTTAATGCTGTTTAAATGCAGTACAGACTGTAAGTCTGTTACGAAATGCAGTGTAACTTATGTTCCTTGTATAGTAGAGGGCTGATATTTGGACACATATATTACGAGATGTTTGATGTACTGTAAAGGTCAATGTCATATCAAGAGGTTAAAGATAAAAAGTTAAAGAAAAAATATTGTGATGAAATATCTAAAACTATCAGTTCAATTTTCCTTATTTTGACACAATTTATTCTGGGACCCATTAGAATCATTCTGTTGATTTTTTGTAAAAATTGAATTTAATATACAATTTCTTGTGAGATAACTTTGTGTGTAGCATAGTTACTTGTGAATTATTTTCAATTCTGACACTTATATGTATGCTCTATTTTTACATAATATCTTATTCAAATTTACCAGTATCATTATAACTAAACCTATTGAATTCAAGTACCAGTAACAATAATATTGTTTTTATAAACAGCATCATGCAAGTTTTCAATAAATTAATTGATAATGTTGAAAAACGTTGAATGTCTGATTTCACAACTTTCTTACAGGCCATATTTCAAACTATGTGGACAAAAATGTGTGATTGAATTTCTTTCATATCATATATGGAAGAGGTTTTGTATCCTAGAGCAAAAGATCAAAGTATCAGAGAAATTGAATTTGGGGAAAAAAATTGACCTATCTATTTTTTACCACCTTAAATCAAATTTGAAATCCATTATAAATTACTATAAAATCCAAATAATTCATTAGTTTGTACACATGTTGTAAGTGTTTAATGACAGATTGACAATTGTTTAAGATATTCGAGAAATTACCTTTTAACCTGAAATTCAATTGAACGGCTTGATCAAATAAAATTTCTCTTAACATACATTTTTTTCTTACTGTACTAACATTTATTATACTTTTTGTTAAACATTATTCTATAAAAAAGTGAAGACAATACAAGTATAAGAAAATGAGTATTGTTAATAGAGCTATGCTGAGAGTAGGAGTAATTTCACTCTAATGATCTGATGCCCCCTTCGGATCTTTTCCTTTTATGGGAGAGGAGAAAAACAATGTAGACCAGACTGGGATTCAAACCGTGGCCCCCTGAATCTCCGGTCAGGTCTCAAATAACCAACTGAGCTATCCGGTCACTGGCGATCGAACTGGGCTGACTCCCACATTCCTCCCTTCTTAAAGGTCTTGGTTTAAAGACCCCAACCCAGGATGATCCCTGGCAGGCTCTCACTTTTAGTTCCAGGGTATATGGCACATCACCAAATGTGACTAAGCCCCACCACTTGCTGTACAACAAACTTTCATTGTATTATCTCTAAACTTGTTAACGTTTGCCGAAATCTATATTTCAGCCATGAATGAAAAGTTGTGCAAGTTTCAGACGCTAATTAGGTTACATCATCTGACTGAAAGACCAAGGTTGGCTGAGAATCTTATTATTATGACCAAATTGAAAGTTTTTGTGATGGACAAAACTACAGATTGACAGAAGTACAGACAGATGAGATTTATATTGCCCCCCCCCCACTTTTGCAAAGGCGGGAACAATAATATACATGTATTTGAAAGGTTTATAGAATAAGAGAACTCTACAAGAACACTTTTTTATTACACAAAAAGAACTTTCATTGTTTTAATGATAGGTAGACTTGTAAAAAATAGATAATTAATAATGAGCAAAAAATACCTTTTTTAATGTTCTTCAAAGGCCAAGATAGGCCAGTATGAGAGGTATAGTATAGAGTATGAAATGCATGTTAAGTATATTTTATTGTTGATAGTTTCATGATAATTATGATAAATTGGTAGCAGACAGATACTAGACCAATTATTTTGATGGTCCTAGGGATACCATTTTTCTTGTTTTTTGGCAACAATTTAAGTTTTTTTTAAGTCAGTTTATGGATCTTCTAAATTGATGTGCTGTCACATGCATGGTGCAGTGGTTAGAAATTTTCTAGAGTTGCAAAGTAAGGGGTTGGTTCTTATGTTGTGGTTTCAAATCCCACTGTTGGACGTGGAGACTGCTCCTTTGGATGAGACAGTATGCATTGAGGTCTTGTGTTGCAATAGGTGTTGGGACAAAATAGACCCCTCACAGAAAGGAGGTTATTCATAGTCAAGGTGGAGTCTACAGTCAGGGGAAGTTCATAGTCAAGGTGGAGTCTACAGTCAGAGGAAGTTCAAAGTCAAGGTGGAGTCCACAGTCAAGGTTCAAGGGGTAGTTCATAGTCAAGGTGGAGTCTATGGAGTCTACAGTCAGG